ATACGTTGCCCAGGGTGCACCACGTGGAGGTAGGTCTATCGTGCACCCCTCATTCATAATTTCAAAATGGCAAATCCCACACCAATGAGTGGGCAAGAAATAGATGCCATTTTAAATGTCATGAGGCATCCATCCAATAAACTTCTTGAATGCCATTATCACTCTGATAAATGCCTTCATCTTAAAGTTAGGAATTGTCCTGATATTTCTTTTTTAATTCATGCACCAGTGAGACTCGTTATTTATCATTTTCTCAATGGTACTCCTTTGTGCAAAATAGCGCTAAGTTCATATAATTTAACTGACGCGGTAATGTTGCTAATGCCGATAATTTCTTATGCATTTGAGGTACCAATGCCAAACTTAACGATTGGACTTAACCCCGAATTACACTTTAAATTGTTATTCGATTTTGGTTATCATGGCACTTGCGGTGTTTTTTTTTCGTTAATAAAAACAAAGCATTTCTAGGAAATTTTTTCTCGTTGAAATAGGATTGATGCTTTTTATATAATATTAAATTTTCTAAGAGGAAGAAATAGGGGGGGGAGGGTTATTTTACATTTTGAAGGCAACGATTTTTTAGCAACAGATACACCTGTCATCCGGAACACCTCAATAATTTTAGGAATCGGGGAGATTTTAAATTTAATTGAATATAACAAAAACCATTGAGTATATTAGACTCATTACACTTGTCGTAGTATATTAGTAGTTCAACCTACTCCTATCCAGAGAGTTCAAAGTACAAAACCACTCGTCTAAAGAGGAGGATGGTAAAAAATTCAGCCCTGGTCACTAAATTGCCAGTGTGAATCAGCCAAAAGTTAGAAGACAGGAGAGGTAGTGGCAGAAAGAAACTTGTTTGTAGTGCGTTAAACTAGGAAAAAACGCATACGCGAAGGGGCGGGGGTCGGGTGGGTCATAGAGTGTGAGAACGGAAGAAGAACTGATTCGGCGAACTCCTCAGTTAACCAATCATTTGGGTATAAGTAATAATCATCCTGGGAGTTAACCTAAGCTACTCTTAGGAAATATGGATCGTTATTAAATCATATCTTGTAGATATGGGAAATTAATATGCAAGGAAGGGAAATTTGTTAGATGGAGAGGGAGGTTTAGATAGGCATATCTTTTAATCTAGCAAATAGCACTTTCCACAGATGATTTGCCTGTTGGTCCAATTTTCGCTCAATTGCGTCTCTACTGGCAAAAAGCTACTAGATTAATCCTAGTATTAGAAGGACTTACCACCACGTGGTGCACCCTGGGCAACGTATACTCATACGGCAAAAAAAGTCTATAAACCGGCAGTTGACTTCTGACTTCAAACTACCATGACCCTACTGTATGTCATATTCGATCACTTCCACCATACTTATCCTACTTTTTCTCTGCCTTTGTGTCTGTCTGTCTTTTTAACATCTTTAAACACTCTTCTGTTCACCCCCCTAGACTTTTTTCGATTTGATGTTCCTCTTCCTCTGTGAAGCCTGAAGTCAACTAAAGGGCTAATGAAAGTTATAATAAACCCTGCCATTTGATATAAATAGTATAAGAAGGCAATGTGGCTTCTGGCCCCTATCTCTAGATAGTAGGTTGACATATAATCTTCTGTTTTTCTCTCTCTTTTACAGGATATCTTCACCAAAATTAAAAAAGCATGTATAGTAGAGCCCCAATTCGCGCATACTGGATCTCTGCAAAACATATTCTTTGCCCAATCGATGAGGAGAAAAAAACACCAACAGATCGTATTAAAGAATGATTTGTTGGGAAATAATAGTTATTTAAGTATCGAATTCTTAAGATAGATGTAGCACGACGACAGTTGATTAGTCATTCACGAAGTTGTAATTAACGCCTCATTGTCTTTGACATTTTGAACTTAAGCCTAATTAAAGGACAGCTTTTCCGAGGATTTGGGAACAATCGAGTTGATGTTTTTTTTCATAGACGCAGATCAGTGTTTTAAATTTCGAAAACACGTGGATAGAAAGATTAGGATTAAAACTGATCAGTTATAAAGATTTGCTATACGCAAAATCTCACGACGCCATGAAGGCTTAGCTTACTTCGGTTGACTTAATTCCAGCTGACAAACTCAGGAAAAAATTTGTCATGATTAAAAATTATTTAAAACATTGACAGGTAGAAAATGTAGGATTTAAGACGCTAATATGCGGAGCGCGATAGACTTACCTCCACGGGGGCACCCTGGGCAACGTAAACTTATTCGACAAAAAGTCAATGAACCAATAGTCGACATCTAATTACCATGACACAACTGTATGTCATATTCCACCACTTTCATAGTACTCACCTCACCCTACTCCCTACCTCTGTGTCTGTCACTTGTACATCTGTGAATCACTCTTCTGTCCCCCCCCCCATCGACTTTCTATGACTTTGATGTGTCTCCCCTCTGTGAAGCCCAAAGTCACCTAAAGAACTAGTGATACCTATCATAAAGCCTGCGATTGGCAATAAATAAATAAATAAATGCTATACAAGGTACGATTTATTCTTAAACTTGGTCCTTTTCTAACGACTTTGCTGCCACCATGTATCTTTCGAACTCTTAGAATGCAAATCTCACGCCCTCACATCCCCTTCTCCCTCCTTAAGTCATGTCAATTACCTTCTGAATTTTATCATTCTCCCCTTTCCCAACCCTACTCATTCTTACTTAAGTAATATCGTAACCGAATCCCGCATCTTCATTTTACGCCTTGTAGTGCCACCTAAGATGAACTTGGTGGTTAACATTTATGGAATGAAATTAACAGAACCATGATAGACCTCCGACCGTTTTGTAAGGCAAGTAGATAAATGGATTTAAAATTTTACCTCGCTTGATTTCGTTAAATCCACTCAAATGAATACTGATCAGTTTTTAAACTCAAAGTCGAAATCTTCTTAAATTTCTTATCTTTGAAGAGCAAATTTTAATCAAATTATACCACAAATTAATTCATTATTTCGAAATGTACTCTCCCGTTTCGAATCACGAAATTACTCGCGTTTTGGAAGTTATCAAGCATTCCACTAACGATATTCTGGATTGCCAAGTTCACAAAGAGATTTTTCTCTACCTTTCAGTTAAAGACTGTTCCGAAATTTCATTTCTGATAACTATTCCTGTAAGTTAGAAAAAAATGTATGTTTAATTGACTTAAATCAATTTAGGTGGATTATCCCTTTCAGAGATTGACGGTTTGTCAATTAAGCAACGGTGCCCCTTTTGGTGAAGTAGTACAAACTAATCTAACCATAATGGATGTTGTCATGTTGCTAATGGCCTTTGTTTGCAACGAATTCAGGAAACCAATGCCGGGAGTAGCAGTTCAACTTAATCCGGAGCTCTATCAAAAGTGGCTGTATGACTTTAACAATGAGGGTCCTTTCCGCTCCTTTTTAATCTCCTAAAACGCTAAAATAAAACATTGATGTTCTACCACTTCCCAAACTCAAATTGCCTGCGTTTTTGTTCATTTGATAGAGATGTGAAAAAAAGAAGCAATTACAAACTGCTCAAATTTTATTTTTTCAAATGGCAGGCTTTTTATGACATTTATCATTAGCCCTTAATTTTTGACTTCAGCTTCCCCCATGGGTGGGGGTACATATATAGCAATTAATTAATAGCAGTTCATTAACTGTCTTCTGGCTTCCCAGTATCTCTGGGTTTCTGTCGTTGTCTTTAGGACTGGACACCGAATCAGATGGGTCATCTCCATTTCCTCCTGTAGGTTACATAGAGGGCATGGTGGTTAAGTGTATACTCCCAATCTGTGAAGATGTTTTGCCAGGCAATCGTGCCCGGTAGGTAGTCTAAACTCAGCAAC